CAGCTCTGCCCTGAGCCCATACCGGCAGCCTGCCCTCGGTCACAGCAACCGCACCGCTCACTGGATGTGCCGCCTCAGGCCCCGCGGCCGGCTGCCGACCTGACCTGCAGCCGAGCGCCCGCGGCGGCCCGGCGCGACGCAGGTCGCCGGCCGTCATCGCCATAGCAATGCGGTAAACAGAGGGACACAGGGGCGGCCCAGGCCTTGGTGCGGCGATATCGAACTGTTGGCCTTGTCCTCGGCTGGCCGAGCACACAGTGCACAGGTGGATATGGTGTCGGCACTGCGTAGCCCCGGGTCGGTGGACCTTTGCGTCGGGGGTCATGACCTTGTAAAAGGATGTGGTGTGATAGCATACATCCGTGCTCGTTAGGGTATCATTATACATATGAATGTTTAAATAAATGGTCATGAAGTAGGAACGTGGATGTATGTAGGTACTGCACATCCTGCTTAAAGTGTTGGGCCTGTGCATGTGCAATACCTATGCGTGTGTGTTGCAAAACTCTGCTGGAAGCATTCAGTCACTTGCTTGCTTAGGTATAGAGGGGGAAATTGACCTTTAACCCTCGCCCTGGCAGGGCATTTTTCATAACACGGCCTGGCGGGGGGGGGGGGTTGATGCGACCCCCCCCCCTGTGATTGGCTCCTATGGCACCTAGAAACAGCATATTTGGTAGGCAGGTGTTCCCCCTGAAATTCCCCTGTGCAAATTTGGCTGCTCTAGGTCAATATTTAGGGGGTTTGGGGGGATATAAATGTAAATAATTCGCTAAAAACAGGTCAAAAGCTATTCGCTATAACTTTTGATCTAGTTAAGATAGAGCAAAAACAAAGGCACCAGTAAACTCAGCACGTCAAGGCGCGTCAAATGATATACTTTTGCTTTCTTAAGTGTACTTAAAAAGTTAAGCATATCTAAGTACAACGTAAGTCTTAAACCGCGCGCCACGTACGGGGGGGGGTGGCGAAACGGCCCCCCTGTCCTTTTCCGTCGATATCTCCTTAACGGCTAAAGATATCACCACCAAACTTTCAGGACACCTCCGGGCATTAATTTGACACATTGTGACAAAAACGTTTTCCAGAATCTATGATAGGTTGGCCACAAATGACGTCAGAATGACGTCATGTTCTGCCATTTTCGACCGAAAAAAGACCTTCGCGAGAAGAGCTGTCAGGCCTACAGCTTTGAAGATACAGAAAAATGACCAAACATAAAAGGTGTAGAATTAACTGTGCTACAAAACTGCTATCTTGGATTTTTGAAATTTTTAAGTTTCGACCCCAAAAAAACAACATTTTTTATATATTAGCCAAAAAAGCCAAAAAGTTTTTTTTTAGTTTCAGAAAAACCGGATTAGATGTGATAGTACCAGCCGTCTCCTATCTACATAACAAATTTTAAATCGATATCTCGTTTTTTTTGCCAAGTTATAGCGAAAAAACTGTAAAAAATGATGACGTTGAATTTCAAACTCAATTTTTGGCAATTCTAGACCACGTAGGGCAAAAAAAGACCAACATTAGACTCCCCGTGACGAGCTGCATCGAATCGATATTTATTTTATGTAAAAATATCAACTTTGAAATTTGACCTAATTTGACCTGACCTTGCCTTGACCTCTTCACCAAAACGTGACCTAAGCTGGTCCCAAAGGCTGCCTGACCGCATTTGTCATATAAAAGAAACCATAAAACATGTATCACACGACACTTTCATATTGTGACCTCCAGTGACCTGACCTCTGTGACCTGAACTGGTATCAGTGACCTCGGATAGCAAAGTATGTGTTTGACGAACAATGTACCATCGATGGTTTTCAATAACTTACCAATTTACTCGATTTTACAACACATTTCTTTAGATGCTTGTGAACGGTGAAAATCCGACCTTTGACCTGACCTGTGACGTCGTCGGTTTGACCTAGGTCAATGAAATTCGGTGGCAAGGTAGTTCCCTGGTGGGGCTAGCGAACGCCGTTTGAATTTTGAAAATCGCCGATAAATTTCCGCGATCTTAGGGGGGCCGAAACGGTCCCCCTCCCCTCCCTACGGGTGGTAGGGTCCGCCGATAGCCCTACGGGGCACGGGTTAAGAATGGTCGAAATGCTTAATGATGCATATAATTCGACTCGGCTATTCAAGACGAGCACAATGATACCATTTTGAAAGCTTTATCCTTTTTATGTGACAAGTTATTGGCACAAACGTCATTTGACCTCAGTTGACCTCATTTGACCTGACCCATGGATAAGTACACCAAACAAAGAAGCACCAAGTGACATATTGTTAAGTACTGTGGTTTCAAAGCACAAAAGTAATAGAACGAAGCGGATATCTCCTGTATTTTTCGAATTGAATATTTTCCCATAGGCTTAACATTAAAACGTAATGACCTCTAACTGACCTCAGCTCAGTGACATAAAAAACGAACTATAGGTATGTTATACAACTCGTTGAACTTAGCACATCCTGCATGTTTGAAGGAATGTAAGTTGGACAGGCGCATAAAGAAAATTGAAATTTGACTATGACCTTGTACCGGTTTTTCTGCCCTGGTGACCTGACCCAAGGTCACCCGGACTTGAAATTTTCAGATCATATGTAAAAAGGCTGCCCCATAGGCTGTGACAAATTTGGCGGCGCTGCGCGCCGCCGTTTTACGCTATCTTTGAAAAACCTTAAGGGGTTGCATCAACCCCCTGCCAGGGCGAGGGTTAACCCGCGCCCCACTGCAACGGTCTGCGTATACTAGTTAACGCGCACCACTGGGTTTTGCGCGTTGTTTTTGCACCACCTGTTTTTTGCCCCGTTATTTGCTGAACTGGAATATTTTTGTCTCGGACGGGATGCTCGGGGCAAAGTGGACGGGGCGAAGTGGCCAGCTCCGAATTGGCCATAAGCTGTTTCCATCTGGACAGCGAACAACAAACATTGTTGATATTGAAATCTGTCGTGCATTCATCTCGGTCCCTTTTTTGGTACATAAGTTACCAAATAATGCAATTAAAAGTTTTCATGAATATCCTTTCTTTGTTTACCTACAAGTAGAAAGATGACAGATTAAACATCAACCTTCGTTTGAACCTTGTCATCATCAAATACTTACCCTAGCCTATGTGAGGCAACTATTCTGTTTCTCATATCTGGACTTACGTAGTCGCCGGTGGCCGCTTTGCCCCAGGGTATGGGGTAATGTGGCCGAAATGCATAGGTTTAACCCTCGCCGGACCTATTGGTTTTCTACATACGCGCCGGCCGAGGGGGGGGGCGGGTACGACCCCCCTCGCCGTTTCGCCCCTGGTGGAGTTAGCGCGTCGCGGGAAAAACGAGCGTGTGCGCCGTTACGAGATGCAGAGATTGGTACCCGATTTTAAGGTCCTAGGTCAACCCGTGACCTCTGAGGTCAGGTCAAGTGCCCCAAGTTACGGCTCAGTTTTTGGTGAATAACTTCGCAAAAAACGGCCGCAGAGCCGCTATCTTGGCAGCATCGTGTTTGTCTCGCCCAGGCGCGTCGAATCATATACTTTTTGTTAGGGTTAGGTCAACTTAGGGTGTTGACCTCAGGTCACGGTCAGGTCAGCGCCCCCAGGTCACGAAGTTGGTCGAAAGGGGTCATGTCGCATATCATTCGATTCGGCAGGTCTCCTGAGTCCATTGGTGGCTTTCTCGACTCGCTAGCTCAATTTGATCGGGAGTTATTGACGAAAAACTAATATGACCTTGATGACGTCATAAATGACGTCACGCAAGGTCAACATTGCAAAAGTGACGCATCTGACCTTGCAAGGAGTGCATCAAATCACGATTCTGTGTGCTTGAGATAGTTGGAGATCTTTCCCGGCGCCAGAATAGCAGTTTTTATTTTTCCCGATTGACTTCTAATGGTGAGGTCACGAAAATGACCTGATCTCATATGACCTGTAGGAAAAATCCGAGATATACAAGTTGTGAGGCTCGTAATGGATACTAGATCCTGCAAGTTTCATTTCTCTGTGAAAGCTCCTCTGGCAGTGAGGGCGTTGCGAAGTTGCGACGTCTGAAGACCGTGCAGAGGTTCACTTATGACGTCATAGGTCAGTGACCTGACCTGAACTGAAAATGTGGTTGTTGTCACAAGATCCGGCTTGAGTCAAAGGTCAGGTATGCCAAGTTTCAGCTCTCTATCTCCAGCGTGTTGGGAGCTATCGCGAAGAAACCCAAGGGGGGGGGCGGCACCCGGCCCCCCCTCGGCCGGCGAGGGTTAAATACAACTCTGTCTTTGCGGTGTGGAATGGGAAGATTCGTCTGTTCGCAGGTGTTTGAAGTATCCTAAGAGGTGTCTACAATATTTTTGGCCATATTTCCACGCCAACGGTCAACTAAGCGGGCACAGCGGATTGCCGTTTTGTCGTCTTTCTCATGCTACGATCTAGCAGACTTCACGTGAAATATAACCTGTTCCATATCTTGACATCGGTCCCACACGCTGGTCTCAACGTGGGCACTTTTATTTAAAACGCGGATGTAGATTCGATTACATAACTTTGATACATATATAGCGTGAGATGAATGTGATCTGAATCGATGACAGTGGGGCAGAGTCACGTCTGATCTGTGCTCCGTGCATATCACTAATCTCAGCACATTCTAGCGTGCTCATTGAGGGAGATACGTGGCCAAATCGCTGACCAGAGTGTTTAACGTTAGATAAATAGCTGCGATACCACTTGCCGAGTGGGAAATATTTATTTTTACGTTCTTCCCTGTGTTTGGAGGTATATTTAAACAATATGTTGAAATTGTTTTGGATAGTGAGGAACTACTTATGCTCTAATAATAATTATTGTATAATATTAATGTTTTGTGTAACATTGCATTGATGCGTGTCTATACTATCTTCAAATCTGTGTGAAATTTCAGATGATGCTGAGCACTCCAAAAGAGACAATGACATTGGCGGTGCTGTGGGTTTGAATAGTGTTAGACTCATGAAAACCTGGCTTGTAAACACTGGCACAAAACACCATTATATTACATGGAGGCATATCATACAAAGGAATCATAACCGTACACATATGAATATGGCACACAAGTAGGATAATAGCATAATATGCCAGTGCACTTCATCTTCAAAGACTACCCCGCTCCGACATTTTCTCTCCAGACGTGTTGTCGATTGTTGCATTGTCCGTAGTTTTTTATCTCCTTCATTTGCCCAGGTCATCTCCGCCTCCTGAGCATTTTCCGTTCACCATCGATCCTCCCTGAAACATGGATGAGGCGTGTGTAAAATATTTTGTTTACGGCGAGACTTATTTAGTATCAACTTACGGCAGCAAGCAAACTCAAGCAGCTACCACGCACTTTTTTCTTCACTCAGTAGAAATGCGGAAAACCTACATTTTTTAATGAGACAGCGGAAGCCAACAATTCCAAGGACTCTACGACTAAGCACATTTCTGACCATGAAACTCATACTGACAATCACAGCGATTAATCCCTGATACAAATCTAGCCACCGCAGCTTATCCGCCGGTCAGTCAGCGACTCCATTGTGTAGCCCATCCCAGCAGTGTAACGATGACCACCTATGGGCAGCGCTGAACAATGAACATGTTACTCGGTAACTCACCCTCGGACAGGTGGGAGCGTTCGTCGACGTGGCCCGACGGCTCCTGGCGGGCACAGCCCTGGAACAAACCGAACTGCACTCAATGCATGTCGCCAGTCACAGGTCAAAGTCGGCAGTCGACAGCGCCCCACCCGATAGGTGACGGTTGTCAGTAAACAGCGCTAGTCGCCCCATAGCAGTCGGGTTAATGGTGCGTGTCCACAATCCACAGTCTACATACAGCGTCTCACCCGATAAATGGTTCGATGGGTGAGGGTCACACTATACACAACACCCTACCAGACAGGAGGGCTAGGTGCGGGATAAACAGTCAACAGCACTTTACACTATATCCGAGTGATGAGCCAGGACCTTGGATTGATTATAAGACGACTGGCTCGGGTTTTCACCTACAACAAAAAAGTCAGTTACACTGCGAGCTTCCGAAATTTCGTCCGACCTCCAACTCGCACGTACAGCCTATTATGAATGGAACAGTCCGGCTCATTATGGATGGAACACATTGCAAATGGCGCCTGCGTCTCATTGAGTTCAAAGGGTCCGTGAAACAAAATTTGTCGTTATGATTGTCCTGACGATATGAGTTGCATGGTAGCCTGAGTCACCCAACTGATCCGAGTTGACATTTCTATTGAGATTACATGCAAACAAAAATATTAATTCCAAAATAGACTCCACGGACGGCTAAATGTCAAACGTTATAGCTGGGCAAATTGATTGACACCATACGTTCAATCAATACGCCCCCGGAAACGGCAAACCAGCGTCTCAGACACACCACATGCGAGAACCCCAATCAAGCATTTAGAATGCCTTGTTAGTGGCTGGTGCCATCATCAGGGAGCGGTGTGATTCGTCTTCGGTCTTAAAATAGACAGGCTTACATGTGACTCAGTAGATAATTGATCTAAGGCAATCGCATGGAACGATATTCCAAATTCATCAACACTGTCATCAAAACTATCCTCTATTTGCTCTCTCCCTTCCCTCGTTCCCCTCCCATGAGGCTCACGCGCTGCGGCAGGCGGCGTTGAAGTCGGAGCGGGCTCCTGGCTGACAACTGTTGACGGGCGCTCCTCCGCCGAACACGGCACGTCGGAAGCGCGCGCCGCTGTGACCCGGGGTCGTGTCGGGCTCGGACACCTCCGTGACGTCACGCCGGCGACGCGACACGGTCGCCTCGTCGGAGATGCAGGCGACCGTCAGCGAGTCGGTGAGGAAACCCCAGACGCCCGGCACGGTGACGTTGTTCTCGGTACGCTCGCAGAACTGTCGGAGGAAGACGACGGTGGTGAGCTAACTTGGCTGAGGTTAAACATGGATGGATCTCAGTCCCTTACTCTTAGTTTTCTAAAGACTAATACTGGTTTCCGTTTCGGCTTGACGTCTTTCGTGATTAAGAGGCGGCGCTAAACACATGTGAGCAATCATTACGCATTGTCCTAATTAAATCCAGATACGATACCCGACAATCTTTCTCACAACATCGACCACTACGTCACAAAAAGAGAGAGAGAGAGAGAGAGAGAGAGAGAGAGAGAGAGAGAGAGAGAGAGAGAGAGAGAGAGAGAGAGAGAGAGAGAGAGAGAGAGAGAGAGAGAGAGAGAGAGAGAGAGAGAGAGAGAGAGAGAGAGAGAGAGAGAGAGAGAGAGAGAGAGAGAGAGAGAGAGAGAGAGAGAGAGAAAGAAAAATAACAGAAGGATTTAACGGAATAGAACAGAACGAAATAGTAAAAAAAAGAATGGAAAAAGAAAAGAAAAACAAAAAAAGGAAAATAAAAAAAAAATAAAAAGGTAAGATGTTACGCACCCCTCCGAAGAAGGAGCATCCCTTCCCGCCAGGCAGCTGGACGGGCCGGGTCCTCGGGCACGGTGTGGGCAGACAGCGGAACTCGAAGCGCGTGTTGAACTGGTGCGCCAGCCCGGACGGGCAGCCGTCGTGGCTGAAGATGAGCTGGCAGACGCCGCAGCGGTCCGGGTACCAGCCGTCGTCGCAGCCGCACACAGACTCGCCGGAGGCGGTCACCTGAATCAGCCGGTCACCTGGTGGAGAGGGTGGCAGAGGGGTTAGAGGGAGGTCACCTTTTGGGGAAGGGTGGCATTGGGGTCAGAGCAGGTCACCTGAGGGGGTGGCAGAGGGGTCAGAGAAAGGTCACCTGAGAGGGTGGCAGTGAGGTCAGAGGGAGGTCGCCTTTTGGGGAGGGTGGCAGAGGGGTCAGAGGGAGGTCACCTGAGGGGATGGCAGAGGGAGGTCACCTGTTCGGAGAGGGTGGCGGAATGGTCAATGAGCTCATGAACAGAAGTGAACAAAAGTACAAGCGTACTGATGCATAAGTGCGCGTCACTAAGTCGCCTTTCGGCGGCAGGCGGGGTTTGGCGAACGTTGTTGTTGACTAGCGTACAGTTTAAGTGTAGTGGACTGCAGATACGATGCAGTTCTTACGGTTCATTTCCTATATGTCATAGCTTTTGCACAATAGGAAGAGCATGCAATCGTCACACAACGTAGCCTTAGAACATTCCCACTCAGTAAAGTTGCGATTGGGACTCTGGATAAATTCTGAGGCACTCCCTAGAATAGTACCTAAAACATGGCACGTAGTAACACAATCATGAACAATGAACACCGAAGCGATATGCCAAATTCGTACCTGTCTTGCAGGACCTATTTGGTACGCACCTGGACAAAAGTCGACCTCGAACTGGTCGTGACATAGCCCATCCGCCTCCACGAAGGCCGTTCCGACAGGGCAGAGCCGCTCCTGACACGTCCCCTGGAGCGCGCACATACGTCAGTTGTAACAGGCCTGGCTTACATTGCTGGTATGCATGCATGACGTTTCATTGTAAATGAATCTTTTCGGGGTCTGCTATGGCGCTTAGTGCGCTCTGTGAGGTAAATGGCTCCATGGTAACGCATAAGGCACCTTTGTGCGCGCAGAGCCTGACAGAAATGAACCGGGTGAAACTAGGAGGCTTACGCATTTTCATAAGTACTGACTGAGGTTGTCGAACCCATTTTCATTCAGTGACAAATGCTGATTGCCATTTCCGCCTGTTCTACTTACCACATTGGTGACGTTGTCGAACAGGATCCACTGGTTTTCGCTGCAGGATCCTCGCTCAAGGGCGCGGATACAGGGTCCGTCCAGACTGCCGAACCGGATCTGGTCCCGGGGACAGCCGGTGCTCGGCACCTCCGGGCCTGAAACGGTAAAAGGCAATTAGAGTTGGCACCGCCTGCCCTCAAACGTTATAACAGCGCTCACAGCTCACAGACAGTCAGCGCTCGGCCCCTCTGGGCCTGAAACGGTACAACCTCAACTGAAAACGGCGCACTTATTCGGAGTCCACAGTCACCATGCGTCAGCTGAAAAACGAATACAGTTTGAAAAATATGGTAGCAGAACATAGGCTTCCCTAAAACATTATGCTTTGTTTGCATGAACAGTGCTGAAATGCCCATGCCATCCCTGTTCGTTTTCAACGATCAACAGCGAAAACTGTAGTTCTTGTTAACTGCATTCATTCATCCGGCAATGTTAATCCAGCCTGGTCTTGACCCAACGCTGGCTTTTGTATCGTGTCATGTGACCATGACATGAGCGGACGGATACGGGTCGATGTCGTGACATTTGGACGTAACGTGCGGCCGCCGAGGAATTATAGCGGTCATGATCGCGCTTGTTGATGGATAAGGACGCCGCCTGTATCAAAGAAGAAATATTTCAGCAAACGAAGCATGCAACAAACTTTTTCAAAGAATTTTGAATCAACATGTCAGCTATAATTTATGCTTGATGCTACAACATACGCAGAGAAGTTGTGTACGGAATGACCTAATCACTATTGAACCAGAAAGTGCCGCTTCCATCCATGTAATATGAGCCTCCCACAGGGCGCACATAATAACCCCCCTCCCTTCCCTGTTCATCGTTTCGACTCACCGATGACTGGGATGTTGTACGGGATGAGCCTCAGGTCGAACTCAGCCTCCAGATCCACGATCTTCTTGCACAACTTTCTGCGCGAGTGACCGGGCAGCTTGCCGAAGTTGGGGCCGAACACGGTGCTTTTCGGCACCTTAGACGAGGTATCCTGTGGGCTGCTCACTCCCACACTGCGACTTGTACCCGTGGTTGTGATGCTCGTGTGCGGTAGGAAACTGGTTCCAACGGTGCTCCCACGCTGGCTGTCGAAGCTGGTTGCAGGGATGGTGTCGGAGCTGTGGGATAGACTGGTAAAGGCGGGTGTCTTGGAGATGGTGGTTGTGAAGCTAGAGTCGGGTCCGCTAACGAAGTTTGTGATCTTCCTAGGCTCTGAGATTGTGGAATGACTAAAGCCGATGTCAGAGTTTTGATGAAATCCTGTGTTGAAATTAGGGGTAGGTGTGCCTATGAAGCCAGAGTTAACGTCAGTGCTAGTCAGAAACTGGGAGTTGGAATTCGTTCCATCGATAAAACCAGAGGTTGACTGTGTTCCAGAATCAAACCCGCTGTAGGTGGTCAACTCAGGGCCGGAGACAAATTCATTCTGAGGAGGATTAGGACTAGAGTCGCCGAGAGAGCTTGAGATGAATGTGCCACCGCCGGTGGTGCCGTCGTAGGTAGAGCTCGTCACGATGCCGCCTCCCGTGTTCAGCTGAGATCCGAAGTCAGATCCCGAGTCGGAGACATACGCGGGGTTCGAGCCGGTGCCAGTATGGATAGAGGTTGTGCCTGTGCTGGTGCCGGTGCTGGTGACCGGTCCCGGAGAGATGGTGATGGTGCCGCCGAACCCGGATATTGTGATGACCGGACCCCGGCTGAGCCCGGGCCGGTCGCTGTAGCTGGACGTTGAGCCCGTGCCGAGCGGGCTGATGACCACGGAGCCGTCGCTGCCGCCGCCGGAGCTGAACCCGTTGAAGCCGTTGCTGCGCTGATCTGGAACATGGACGATGTGCTGTACCTGGCTGGGTCCTTGGTATCGGCCCTGCGCGCTGCGACCCAGCGGTGGCAGGAAGGCCGACTGTCTATAGGCCGGTTCAGACTGCACCACAGGCACCAGCGGCGTCACCAACACCAACGCCAGCACCAGCGTGACTGGTGCCACACGGCACGATGTGCCTTTAGGTGTTGCAGGTGGCATCGCGGCTGCAGTGAGACGAACAGGACGGCAGAATCAGCTATTCGCGCGTGGCTGGCCAGTGACAGTTCTTCCAGTCAGCTCCTGTGTTCCTCCCTGATCACAATTGCCGAGAAGCCGTTGTTCCTAGTTGGGTAGCCTGCAAACAAGAAAAACATCGGTCACTTAATCCATTCGTCAAGAAGCAGTAAGTGTACACTGTGCTTTGAAAAGCGATAATAATGGCTCGTTTTATTAGGAACTAACTATTTTTCTCTTTTCTGGTTAACGAATTAGAGTAAATTACTATCACCGATATTTTTGTGCGGAGGACCGAGTGCCGGTTATATTAATCACATAACGTGTTTGGAAATTATTTTCTTTTTTGCACGTAACGCATGACTTTATATTCCGTATTTCTCAATAATAAGTTCGCTTCCATTTCCTCTTTGTCCTTAGATTTAAGGTTTTAGCACAAACAATACACAACTCACGAGGGTTAGGTCATAAATCAGTACAGCTGCATTGTTATTTTGTCAGCCATGAGCCACGAGACGTCCAGGCGTCAGTGAGCATAAATCATATGTAACGGTATATAAATACACGTAATTGATAATTAGGATGTAAAAATCACTGTTAAAACGATTTAGGCCAGCACTCTACACCGCATTTATATCCACTGAATGCATCAGCTCATCCAATAAATACAATTATTATAATTATACAATAGTACCTACTATTTATCGTTTGTGGCTATCGCATGCAATCAAACTCTGCAGTACCTATTTAAACATCTAATTAAAGTGACGCGCTAAAAGTTGACTGATATTTGATAGTAATGGCAATAGGTGCGATAATCAATATGGATATGGTTCAGATAAGAAGTGCATGGATAAATGTCAGTCAGGCAGCACACCCAAACAGGGCAGCGGCGATTTCAGTCCCCAGAACAGTGCCGCGAATCGTTATCATCGGGAGGTGGGTGGTTCGTTCGGAGTAGCCTGTAGGGTAGGCTGCACCGTCGAGCACGAATTCAGCGAACGGAGGCGCTGGGTAGACTGTGCCGCGGGGCACGCAGGCATTGGGAAAACGAGTAGCGATTGTCGTGGTCTCCTCGGGCCCACGCAGAAGTGATTTAAAGGTAGTGTGCCAGCTTTCCTGGACCGTATGGAGTTAATGGCCCAGATAAGGAGAACCGGATTTTTAGAACTTATCCATACCTTCAAAACTCATGGAAACGTCTTAAATTCTTCAAATTATGAGTACCCCAGTGCGAAATTCGCCCCGACGGGTTGTCGGTCGTACCCCAACCACATTTCACACCACTATGAACAATAAATGCACACACTGAAATCGCTATTACCGATATGCTCATCCAATCAAGTTTCGATAAACCCGTTCATCATCATCTCCTGCGGTTTCGAACACACCTGTTAGGTGGTGCGGTAGACCGCGCCCAAAGCCAGGGCCCCGGTAACGTGAGGTAGCCGAGTCGGGGCAGCGTGCGCTGACCCAAGCCGGGGCCGCGCGTCCTCCCGGTGTCATGTGATAGCCCGGGGCTGCCCGCGGGGATGCGGTAGACCGCGCCCAAAGCTGCGGCCCCGGCTTGGGTCAGCGCACGCTGCGCCGACTCGGCTACCTCACGTTACCGGGGCCCTGGCTTTGGGCGCGGCTTCTGCTCATACTTTGTGGTGCGGTGGTGGTTGTAGCGGGCTACATCTTTTCTATTAGTTTACTATTAGCTGTAAACTTTAAATCCTGGCACGACCGACTACTGCCCGATCCGGACACGCTGGCCGCGTTCCGTAGAGACCCTTTCCTTTGTTTTCCCCTGTCCCACGTCCCTATCGACACCGGCCGCCCATAATTTAGAAAGGACAGCAGCACAGAGCGAGGTAACGCGGAAGAAAGAGACGCGGAGACCTAGCGGGTCACCGTTCGTTACGGACGTCGTCACTTGAGGGCAGCACCAACCGGAATGGAATATGATAAAGCCATGCAAGAATGCAGTTATGCATTTAAAAAAAAAAAAATCGACTCAATACCGGACGTTACACAAACCTGCAATTCAGATCAACTTGAGCACCAAGCAATCCGAAAGTCGCAATAGTTTTATCGCCTGACCCCACCATATAGCATTCCAGCAACGACCAGTGCAACAAGGACGTTTTTGGAATATAGACTGTCTAAATGATATCCAGAGGAAGTCATTGCGCTAGCAGCTCATGAGCTCGGAAAGCAAGTCCTTGTGGCGGAGGAGCATCTGAACAAGAGGTACAGCACCTAGAGTACGAGTGAGTGAGCAAGTGTAACGGAAACTAGAGACAACATTACAAAGGATAAATGGTTGCGGGCTGCCTACTATAAACAAGCATTTCGATTTCAAGCCGCTTTATCAGAAACAAGCGCAGATCAACAATAACGGTCATCGTTCGCCGATGAAGACTGGAACCGAAGAATTGTGCCATCTAATGCCTATTCAAATGCTTTCACATTCAGTGCAACCGTATTTTGGAGAGGCCGTTGCAAATGCAAAACCGAGCACGCCCTCAAGCCACCGCAGTAAGAAGACAAAGAAGTGCACCTGAATCGGAGCCAGCACCCGGAACCAGGTCAGGAGAGGGCGACGCCACCCCGACCCAACTATAAAAAAAGGGACCGCTGTACTTCGGGATCAGTTAGACCGGAGCAGTCAGACCGAGACAGTGAGACCGGGACGGGAGGACCGAGTCAGTGGGACCGCCGCAGTCGCGCCGGGATCATCGCGCCCGAGAAGCCATGCCGCCGGGAGACGGGCCAGTTCAGCCGCATCGCTGCAATCGTCCTGCTCCAGTTCTCTGCTAGTGCCTCGAGTGATGGAGACGCAGGACAGCAGCCGTCGACGAGAAAGGACGCAAGTGCAACTGCCGAGGTTGACGTCACACTCCAGCTGCTAATGTGAGTGTTCAATCTGAATGTTCGAAAGTCTGCTCTCCCTGATCCTATCTCCCCCCCCCCCCCCTGGTTTACGCCTTGCCCGATCTCTCCAATGGTCGTTGCCAAGCATAATAGCAAATTGCTTTGATTTATACGGTCGGTCCAGACAATTCTAGTTGTGGTCTCCACTCTCCGCGATCGCCAGAAATTATTGGTGCAAAGCTGTATTGCGGTTTTGTTCTCGGGGTCTTACTACCGGATAAGCTGCGTTATGGGTGATCGAGGTTTAGCTAAAAATTCACGAGTGCGTATATGTCATTGTTAGGATCTCCAGCTTACCATTTGCAGACTAGGATTACAATGGGATTCTCAGTGTGTTTATGTTCAACAGTGACGTTCAGTTGGGTTTGTGAGAGGAGTTCAGGGCGTGGTTTCAGTCTCTTTTACAGTGATGTGAGCTGGTATTGCTGCGCCACATAGCGGGTTAATAATGAAGCTGTTAGTTTCTGTACGAACCTGTCAAAGACAAAGTTAACAATTTAACCGGTTAGGCGTAAGTCATTTATTATTGGTATTCTGTTGAATTAACGTCTTGACTGGGAACATGAATTAGACTGTATTTAAATTCAACGTGTTTAATTTAGAATACACACTAAAGCTATGAAACGTTCTGTTGTGGGCATAGTGGGGAGGATCGAGCTCTTACAAATTTGGAAACGGGTGATTGGCCACAAGGTCAATAAGATCATCCGTCGAGACGTCATCAACGCTTTTCCACTCTGGTGTTTCGTGGAGTTCGCACTACAGTATAGAGGTTTACATTAGATACACACACACACCGAATAAGAAGAGCACATATAGAAGAAGCACACGGTGTCTGATCGACGACCTTGGTCCAGCTGTTAATTCCGACGGGTGAAGCGGCGCGGCGGTGGGCCGCCCAGGTTTATGAGCTGGGCTGCAAATTCAGGTCAGAATTCAGCTGTTAAGGAATTCAATTATTCGAGGCGTGCAATTGTGGAAACGAACGTGGTAAATTGTTCAAAGATGTTGGGTTATCATAATGTCACTAGGTCGTCGTAATGTCGTGGTATTATCGAGCATAGCCATCAAATGACGTTTATCATGGGCAGTCCGGGCGTACTGTTTGCATCACTAGTCGCGGGACAGAGCTGGTGGCGGACAGGACGGTCCGTCGGCTCTCTGTCGTAATTTATGGGAGATTTATTGACGCAGAATATTTCAGACCAGGTAAACAGTATCAGTGAAATTGTTGGGGCTTATATTTTTAGCGAACCTGAATACTCGTGGTTTTGTGGTTGCTGGTGGCAAGTAGTTCACCCGACCAAGATGGACGAAAATTTAATGGCTCAAGATGATACATTTGATCTTTCTATCTGTCATATTCGAGTGGCTACAAGGTATAGTGCAAGCTGACTATCTTAGATCAATAAGCCGGAGTCTAAATGAGGAGAGGGTTTGTTTGCCCGGCTCTTATGTCGGAATGTTGACTAGCATGACTTAGACACAGAACTTCCTGAGAAATTCGTCCAGACCGGTAATGTAAGGTAAGGAGCACATCGTCTTTAGCAGAGCTATTCACGTTACCCACCGTGGTGATACCGCGGTTGTTGTTGGTTTCCCGCAGGATTATTTAGTGGGCAAAGGTAGGCAGGCTCAGAGGCATGAAACGGCGGATCCCAGCGGAAGTCAAGGATCCATCAGGAACGTTGGAGTGCTGGGTCACTGGTAAGTCATCCACAGGTGGTGTAGGAAGCCGTACGTCCCAGGAAGTCATCATACTTATCTGCATCTTGATCATCGGTATGAGCCAGGAGTTCCCGGCCACATCCGGTGATGGACAGCCTCTGGGGGACCGGGAGAGTTCCCCCTCGGAGTTCGTGAGTCCTGGTAACGTAAGACCCACGGAACCAGATGAGTTCCAGGCAGATAGTTCCAGGACGTGGATACGTGAACTATGGTCCCAGGACGTGAACGGTAAGTTCCAGGACGTGGACCGGAGGGAGCGCGAGGCCTAGCGCTCTCTCAAAAGGGAAACCAGCCGGGTGTAATTCGCGAATTTGCATCATAAGTCTATGGGACGTGTTGTGGATCCGACTAAATTACAAAGGTGAATAATTATCTGCATGCAATACTGGACGGCCCTGTGGCTTGGCCACCGGTTAGCGGAAGCACACATGGATTCATAAGAGAGACATTTATCTCGCCGGGGAGGTTATTGTT